ATATACATACATACATACATATATATATTTCAGTGTTTATCACAATGTATTTCTAGCCTGCTAAACTAAAGCATATCTGTGGTCTTCTTGTATTTAAAAAGTAATAAAATTCTGGGAACCACTGCTGTCCTCCATATGGGTACTATCGTATAACAATATTTGAACTGATTATCAGAAAAACTTTAATCACTGCTTTTTTTATTTTTAGTTTTAATTTAAAGTAAAAAAAAAGGAATCAACTAGAAATCGTTTTATTATATCAAAATAATTATAATAATAATTATAAATCCAAGATTCAATTTAAAATGAATTGACTCTAACTGAGATTAACTCCACTCTGGCATTTTTTCCCATGATGTTTAATATTCAAAACCACATTTTGGACATATTCGCATTCTGGTGTAATATTATCTGTTTTAGAATTCATTTTCTACATTCCCTAAAATTAATCTAAATATAATGTAATAATAATCTTAAACCAATAAAGTATTTTAATACTTTTTAAGATAAAAAAATTCCAAAAGTTTATAAAAAAAAAAGAAAAAAGGATTGCTTAAACAGCTCCAAATACATGTTGGTGCAATGGTTGTATGTATGAGCTCCCCCTGGTGGTCAGAAGAAGGGGCGTTTATAATCGCATAATCTTTAATTCCAAACCTCAAAGGGGATGGCTAGTCTGTCAACCTATTAAGCCCCTTAGCATGATCCAATTTAGTAGATATATGTGGCTATGTATACTTCTAGTGTCAAGAGTGTTTATCTGTTTGCAAATCCAATCTAATACGTTTTAAGACTGCATCATATTAGTGGGACATAAATACTATACAAGCCACCGTCTACATGGAAAAAAACAACTGTTTTATAAGATACTAAAGAACAGAGGCGTAGCCAGAAATTTTTTACAAGGGTGGCCAGGCAATAACTAAAGTACACTGAGGGGGGCCAAAAGCGGATCGGCACCAGAACCTCAGGGTCAATCTACAGTATTCCAACAGGAATATTAACGAGCAAAATATCCATATTTTCTAAATAAAGACAAATTATCCTTTCCTACAGCCTTTGCTAACAAATAGATGAGTATATTTAAACATCCGTAATTTCTATAAAAAAGGTATAATGGATAGAACTCAGTTTTAAGTAACTTACCTACTTGTATCAATAAACATTATGCATAAAATTTATATTTACAAATACTAACATCTACATAAATTGATTATTTGATAAGTTTATATTAAAATTGTTATTTAACTTTGATTTCACTGAAGACTCCTAGATGACTTGCAGAGACACATAATTTTCTCTTTACCCTATATTTTAACACAAAATCTAGTTCTGAAAAGAGCAGGAATTCTGCACTTCTTGTCTTTGATGTTAGTATAATTATGTGTATAATTAACCACAAAAAAAAAAAAAAAATGTTTTGAATATTCCACTTGAGAGTATTACTGCTGACACCATCTGTATTAAAGGGAAAAAATGGTAGGGGTGGCCACAGGGGTGGCCAATGATTGGCTAAGTGTGGCCATGGTCAGCTCTGGCCCCCCATCTAGCTCCGCCTCTGTCAAAGAATAAGAATTGAAAATGAAATATCCTACATTCTTCTCCAGGAACGAACTCGGAGCTTGCTGAGAGAGTGGTATCTCCAAGATCCCTATCCCAATCCATCCAGGAAGCGCCACTTGGCCCAGGCCACGGGACTCACACCTACACAAGTGGGCAACTGGTTCAAGAACCGCCGCCAGAGAGACCGAGCTGCATCAGCAAAGAACAGGTAATGCTCCCACGTTCTCAGAAACATTCGGACAGGGACATTTTTCTAAATACTGTATTAATTTAGAGTTGATTTATAAAACTGTGATATGTCCCCACATTCAGGCTTCAACAGGATCCATCCCTCCATCCCTCGGAGAGCTCCCCTGACGGCGCCCACCCCCACTCCCACCTGCTGCCCCCTTCCCCTCGCCACCTCGGCAGCCCAGAGGCCAGCGATTGCAGCACAGAGACTGAGCGCAGAGGGACGGGAGCCTCGACGCCAGAGATCTCTGTCAGCAGCGACGGGGAGTTTGAATCTTGAGATGATTTTATTTTCTTTTTTTTTACTCTACAAAGGTACAAAAACATACACAATAAAAGACAGCGAGGTTATGGACACGCTCCAGCTTTCTAAAATGGAGAGGAGAAAATGCTGGAGCCTATTCTGCTGGACTTTGTGAAAGGAACTATGCACTTAAAAAAAGCACTGAAAGGGATGTTGGTCATATCGCCCCTCTGCCATTTCATACTTTTTGTAGCTTTCCTTTTTGTCGGTTAAAAAAAAGAATGGTTTGACCAGGTGGTCTAAATTAATTTTCTATCATCTACCAACAGTGAATCCTTGTTATCAACCAACTAGAGGTTGCTCATATTCCTTTCAGTTTGTTGCAAGTTAATAATTAATAACTAATCTGATCTTGTGAGTGAGAAATAGCCCAAATCAGTGGCGTAACAACTCACCAATAGGCACGTAAGCAACATAAGATCTTTATTGCAGTTTGAAACATATCATAGGAGTGTATTTTTTACCAACTGTCTAATAAACTATACACCATTATTAACATCGGTATTAAAAGTACCACTGTCTGCTTTGCTATTGGTGTCGTGTTTAAACGGCTCACCATCGTGTTGAAATCTGGCATGTGTTGCGGTATAAATAAGGTCCAATCAGCCATCTTAACATCAAAAGCAATTTTTCGCACGATTACATCTGCAATGAGTCATCCTAGTCCATAATTGCGAAGGGGGCCTACCGTCCTATACCATAACTGCGAAGGGGGCCTACCGTCCTATACCGTAATTGCGAAGGGGGCCTACCGTCCTATACCGTAATTGCGAAGGGGGCCTACTGTCCTATACCATAATTGCGAAGGCGGCCTACCGTCCTATACTGTAATTGCGAAGGGGGCCTACCGTCCTATACCATAATTGTGAAGGGGGCCTACCGTCCTATACCATAATTGCGAAGGGGGCCTACCGTCCTATACCATAATTGCGAAAGGGGCCTACCAGGTGTCAGTGACGGGGCCCCTAAGAGGTCGGGGGCCCCTAAGCAACTGCAGTCTCTGCTTACCGATAGTTACGCCATTAGCCCAAATGGGTTTCAGAACTACAAGCAATGGAAAGAATGTGAATGCTTCGGAAAAACACCCAGTTAGACTAAATTATATGACATCACTGTTTATGATTCACTGCATGATAAGCAATAGTTTCAGTAACAGATTTCAAAATAAGTGACCTGTAACGGGGGTGCAAAATGGCAGAGGGGGAAAGGTCGACCCAGAATCCACTGAAAAACCCATAAGCTTAGTTGTTGCTTTATAAAACGATAAACCGATTTTAGAAGCAACGCTAATATTTTTTTAACTCACATGAATGTTAGTAATTTCAAATTTCTTACTGTTTCGAATACATGTGTAAATAAAGATGATTTTGTAATAGTTTATAGGGGAGTTCCAGGTATTTTTGTGCAAAATAATGCCTTGCGCAGGCTATTACTGTATGTAAATATATATCACCCATGTACATTAATCATTTGTTACACATAGGCCCTTACATTTAAAGTATTGTACATCTATGTCCAGTCAGTGGTACTCCATCAGTGTTTTAACTGTGTCTCGTTGTGTTTTTAATGTAGCGTATGTAATCACAAACTACTTCGACTCATTTACTGCCTTAATTGAAACTAAGAGCATTCCTAAAAAACAACAACCTCCTGGTCTATACAAATATAAGGGTCTGTGACTGAAACATGCTGCTTAGGACATAAACCACTTTGATTACAGCCACTTTACCTGTGCATCTCTCCTGGTACCACTGAAGGAAGGATACAGCGTTGCTTTGAATCAGCCAGGAGCTGGCAGACACAAGGTAAAGATTGTTATTCACTCATTGGTTCTTATCTCCATGTGCCTACTAGATTTAAAAAAACAAAAACAGTACAAGCCACTCAACCGTGTCTTCATCAACAATCCCACAGGCCTGCTGTCTTATAAAATGTCCTTATGACTACTACCACTTCTCACAACATTTGTGTAATTCTCTGACAAAATACGTATTTTGTAAATGTTGTTTGAGAATAACTACACCTATTTTTATCCAGCCATGCTTGTATTTTTTGTATTTACAACGTTTCAAGCTGTATGAATAAAGTATAAAGTTATTGGAACACCATTATGGAGCTTCGTTTTTTGTACTTAAAGGGGTCATAGTATGATTATGTAGGCTATTCTGAATAGGGTGTGTGGCATTGGTTGGCCTGAAAATGGGTTATTTGCTGTTCTATGAGCCCAAATGCAACCCTGGTTAAAAGCCCTAGAATGAAACGACAGGTTTTCTTCCTTTTATGGTATGCTCATGAATATTTAGATGAGCTGCTGAGCAAAGATACATCATAGCAACAAGCACTCACTCACTGAAACATCAAATTGTCGATATGGTAGGGTGACC